GGGATGAATGCAAGTTTAAGGTTCATTAAGACTTGCAGGACTGTGCCACAAATAAAATGAATCCATTGCAAAGAAGCTTCAATATAATCCTTTGATAGACAGAAATCATAAAGTGCAACTCCAAACATCAAAGTTCATTTAAAAGACATCTGCCCTCCTTCAGCCCCCTGCTGCAGCTTATCTGCTATAGCTTTCTTTCCCATCAGTTGCACTCATCAAATTTTTGTGGGGTTACCCTTTAAAAAAAAGATCAGTGAAATGATTTTAGTCAAAAACAAACAAAACACTGTTTCACAGCAGAGGAATAAGAGGTAACAGCTGGGAGTGTGGGAATACTTTTAATCTGTTGCGCCACTAGAAGACTGTAACATGGAACATATCCTGTGAATTTATTACACACTTTATATAGTAATAGGGAAAACTGCTATGACAAATTAAGGGAGTTTGAAAAGGGTGTTTTCTCCAAAAAAATTAAAACATTTAAATCAAGATGCAAGGCCAGAATAGTTGGAACATTTACTACTGTGACTTATTTTATATTGTTTGGCTGTTCACAGGAGCTAAACAAATAGTTCAGAAGCAACAGAACCAATGAAATCTATTTTCTTATGAACTTGTACCTAACGCATGCCTTGATATTTAGTAAGATGTGAACCTTCACTGCAGATTGCTGTAAAGTCGGATTATTCATAGCAGTGCTTGCACTCATTCCAGTCCTTCATTTCAGTAATCTTATCAGAAGCTAATGCCTGAGAAATCCATGTCCTAGACTTCTACCTGTTAATAAAGTTCAGTTGCATTTGGAAAATACATATTTTCACTGTAGAAGAAACTGTACAATACAAAGAGAGCAAAATTAGAGCAAAAAATGTTCCATCATCAAGCCAAAAAAAACCAACTAGGATGCTAGGGAAGGAATGAGAAAAAGATCTGAAGATGACTCGTAGGATAAATACCACTAACTCTTCCTCCTTCAAGAGGAGGAAGAAGAAGGTCTGTCTGCAAGATACCTACCTTCCTTCCTTCCTTCCATTTCTTCTGTGGAGATTTCTACCAGTCATATTTTCTTTACACATCCTCCTTATTGTTCCCCCTCTAGGTATGTAAACTTTGCCTTCTTCCTTAATTTTCCATAGTTCTCCCTTTAACATTCCCTTGTATTTAAAACCTCTGCTCAGTCCTCTTTATAGCCTCTTTATATTTTTTTTGCTCTTAATCAGAAACAGCCACCTTCTGTGGAACATGAAAAAAACAGGCTTTGCTTTTCTCCCGCTCAGGTCTACAGTCTTTTTATATCTAGGTGAGCATTACGTGCTTGACAACATCACTAAAAAAACATATGTGTTATCGAGAAGTACAAGCAGCACAAAGTGAAAATGCAAGGCATGTATATATGCACAAGTTGTAACTTTTAAGATTATATAAGTGTAAAGTGAAGTAGCTGAGCACTGTTTTTAAATGGATAAGCAAAATTCATTAATATATGCCTTTTGTTATTTGTTGATTTACACTCACTGAACTTGAAATAATGCTATTGAAACATACATGATCAATGCCCTTCCTGCACAGTTTTAGCCATGGATGCAGGGAAAAATCTTTGGAAGTCTATCACATTTTAATTTTCTTTCAAAAAAAAAAAAAAAACAAATTGAAATCAAACACATGCGGACATTAATTAAACACAGGAAACAGAGAGCATATACCAAAGCCTATGTCCAAAGATTAAATTAAAGCTTACTTTGGCAGATCATTCGCACTGGCCATTTGGGAGGGGCAGGGAAATTGTTCAGACAGAAAGAAGAATAGGAAGAACTTGCTTGTCTTGGCTACTTTCACTCATTTTTCCATTCTCTTTCTTTCTTCTCCTATGTACAACACCCACAGATTTCCTAATAAGATGGTATGCGACCCACCGCACACTGCAGTGTGGGTGTAACTTAAATGAAAAAGAAACGTAAATTAACAAACATGGATATTTACCTCATTTGCCGCAAAACTGAAAGGTGGTATTAAGCAATATTAAACATAATATAACATTAAACAGAAATTGTGATACCTGCTAATTTTCTCTTCAAAATAGTTATGATGGGCATTGTAACAGCCTCTCCTCTGTTCTGCAGATCTAGACAGCAAGACTAGATCTGCTAATCAAAGTAAGGTAGCCTGGTTTTTATTTCTGAGGACAATCCTAATACAAAACGCTACCATGTTAAAGGTGGTCTAAAATTTCTACTACTAGTGGTTTAATAGTTCTGATTCTAGTAACTTTTGAATACAGCCTGCAATGTGGAGAACAAATAAGTAATTAAAAGTGACCTGAAGAGATGCAAGTTCAAAGAAGGGTGAAATGCTGACCAGGGATACTCGTAGTAGTAAATTATTTCTCTTCATAGAAACACTCCTCCTTGCAACAGTGGGGATTTCACAGCAGTGAAACCTTGGACGCAGACTTGCATAACTCCGAGCAAAAGAAACCACACACTCAGTTTGAAGAGCTCAAAAACTTGTAGTAGCCTCCAAACACAACAGCAGCTGCAAGCTTAAACATTCCACCAGCAGCACCTACAGAATGTATGTGTAGTTATCTGCATATAGAGCTTGCACATTCCTTTGCATACTACAAAGACTGTCAGCTAAACACTGACCAGCTATCCTATGCTTCATCTAACTGCAGGTGGAAAAAAAAAAAAAAAAAAAACTCCTTTGAGATACACCAATAGAAACCGTGGTCCTAAAGAGAAAAATAAGCACAAGAGCTTTTGGAGCCATGCTTGAGTGCTGGTAACTGACAAAGAGGATCAGACACGTGGCTCACCTAAAAGGGTCAGTCCCTTAGAGGTAGGTCCCAGTTGCTCTGGTGAACACCCACCTACACTGTTATTCCTTTCTCAGGTAAGAGTAGACTTGAACGTAACTTGAATAAACTTGATTCTTGGAGTTGAACAAAACACTCCTTTCTTTCAAATTACAGCCCTGAGCAACACAGGCTGAGAGAAGAGGAAAGAGCTAGATCTGGAAATCTTGTTCAACACGAATGTTCATTATCATAGATTGCTTTCTTCCTTTATTTTTTTGTGTTAATTAATGACAGCGATACTAACTGCACAAAACTGATGGAACAGCAATTCTGCCTTACTCAGAGTAAATATTCCTTAATCAAAAACAGTCACAGACATTACTGATGACTTCTCTTTAGTGTATATTACTCAAGTTTTTTCATTTTCAGGAAATAAGGGAAAAAGTCACTCAGAAGACCAGTTCACCCTAGGACAACGTACCAGTATTTTAACTGAAAAGTCTGTGATACAAAGGAAAATGTAAGAGCTAAAAATCTCAAGAAACCTCCCCCCCACCCCCAAATTAGTGCAGCTGTCGGTATATATATAAAAAATTAGCTTCTCCGGCATTTTTTTTCCCCTCACAAAATTATTGTTTTTGAAAACATACTTTTTATTCAGTCAGGAAACTTTGAAAAATAAATAAATAAAAAAGGGTTTCTCATAAAAATACACACACAAATCACAGAATAATTGTTCCTCTCACCCTTTGTGATATCCCTCTGCTTTCACTGTAAGAAAATTCAATTTGGTTAGTCAGAACTAGGAAAGTATAGCAAACTAAAAGTTCATACATTTTATAAATATTTATAATGTTTTAAAGGGATAAAATGCAGTTCCCACTTGCAGAGGGAAAAAAATTTGAAATTCTTTAAGTGGTCTGCGGCCCTTTTTGCTGATTTTATATTGAGGGGGGACGGAGACTCTTGTCATACCATAACAAACCAGCTCCCATGTATTCCTAATATATTTTTATAAGGCTTTCATAATTTTGACTACAGTACTGAGCCAGCAATACAGTATTTAATCTGTTTTCCTTATTAAAACTAATTCACATTAATATTGATAATAGCGTTTAAAGCTACAACTAATTGGAATCTCATAGCAATATACCTTTACAATAGCTCAAAACACTTTGAGGGGCAAAGAATTTGTTCAGCATTAAGATTTTTAATATTACATACTTTAAATTCAAAAATTTGCATCAGTACACTGATGGCATAGTATAAGTACACAATTACTTTAACTGTAGAATTAATATTGCAGTAGATATCTATTTCTATATCTTTAAAGAAAGGTAAGAAACACAGCTATTACAACCCTTCTTTCCTGTGACTAGTTTATAATTTATATCTTATAACTCTAAGATAGTAATAATCAAGTCATTATTTCCTGAAAACTATAAGAAATTAAATTGATTTTGTGCTATAACACCAATAGATAAGCCTGTCCACTGTAAAATCCACCGCCCATACGTACTGACCAGAACAGCTAGTTATACAAAAACTGGCAAGCCATGTAGAGCCCAAAACTGATCTATCATTAGAGACAGACTGTAGTAATCAGTATCTATAAGTCTAAAACACAAATATATTCACAGTGCATCTTTTTGTCTCACCACCCTCACACACACACCAAATCCAACAAAACTATTCTGATTAAGTAAATGCTCTTTCTGTTGTTCTTTTCTACATGATAATTACCCCCAAAGGCTCAACCCTACTGCCGAACATGCAGTAACGCACGTGAAACAACAAATGCCATTTATCGTAACAAAACGTAAACTGTGAACAGCATGTCAGAAGGAGGAGGAGGAAAGAAGTATTATTTCTAATATAAAAAAAAATTAAAGTTTAAGTAGAATCCAGACCAACTAAACAAAACAGCAAGATTTCCATCAATTTTGGAGGATCCTATATTATACCATTTTTTTTTTTAATTCTAATGATAGATTAAAATATTAAAAGTAGTATGTTCTTTTTTTCACTGAACATCAAAAATTGAAATCCACTTAATATTTCCAATAATGTAGCTGAAATGATTTTATATATAAGAAAACAGACACTTTAGGATTACTGGATTTCCAATGTCAAACTTCTCATGACAAAGATAAACAGTTTCTACCATACTTTGTTTTACAATAAATTAAATAATTGATTTTACCTGTTACAAACAACGGAGCAGATGCTGCTTGTTCCATCGATTTCCACTGACCACGTTGTTTAGGAGCTTCCAAGTAGTGTTTGACCCTTGAAGCAACCGCATCTTCTAGCAGCATGCAGACTTCCTGAAAGAGTAATCATTTTCCTAGCTAGAGCTAAATTTATCTACATGCACACAGATGCATAATAAAAATCAATATCAAATCACGCCCTTTAACATAGAAAGAAAAACATACTATGCAATCAAGTACTGCGGCACTAAATAGAGATCAGAGGCACATAATTTAGAAAAAGCAATGGAACAAGAGAAACATGGGGGAAAAAAACCCCAAATAATTTTCTTATATATTTTGAAAAAAAAAGGAGGAAGCACACTATGATTCAACTAGGACACACTGTATGACGTGCTTTACATTATTTATAAAAAGCCTTTAATGTTAGAATGCTCACTAGGGAGACGAAATAAACTATGACATTACAATAGTTCTATTCATTTTTAATCAGCAAATTACTTAAATCCATTTGCATGCAACCAAAGCAGGAAAAACTAAGATACACTAAAAATATACCATAACGTGAGAAAGTTAAGCAAAATATTAGAGAAAATACTTCCAGGAATTGTCAACACACTATTCCTCTGCAATAATTCTTAAAAAACACCGCAGATATTTTGCTTCAATTCAGTGCAACATTTTGGGAGAGATTTGGAGCTAGTTAGGTCACAGTAACCTAATTGCTCTAGTTCATTTTGATTTTTCTTCTCCTAAACAGAACCATTTATATCTTGTATACTTCCTTCAGCAAAGCACAAAGAAAACCATATACAATCCAGACAGGAAAAAGAGGCCTTTCAGCCCGAATTACTATTAAAAACAAAAATCTTGGACCAAAAGCGAAAATTACTCTCTCCAATAAGTTTTCAGATTAATTCATATGCACATATTTTAGCGTTTCCCTCAGTATTCTCATTTTCCGTTGTGCACAGTTATGTGCTCACAGAAATGATACTTCATGGGATACAAAGATATTCTTTAACCTTTTCATAGCGTTTGGACAACAGAAAAAATTGTATTATTACCATCTAAAACAAAATAGTTTGGCTTCAAGCGTACCTTTGATTAATCTAGAAAGTATGCAGAGCAACAAAATGTTAATGTATTGCTCTAAATTAAAGTAATGCATATATGTTGGCGAACCACAAATAGTATTTTTCTCCTTCAGTTAAGAATATATTTTCCTTTTAGCTTGAAGAACATACTTATAAAACATAGCATCTACTTATTCTTCTGTTTAACTCATTAAAGCGATCTCATTACACATTCCTTCAATAGGACTATATTCAAGTTAAAATGAAAAAGTCTAGAAAGCAGCTGAAACATAACGTGCATTTGGTTCACTCTGTAACAATAAAGATTAGTATGGAATTCCTTACTTTTCATGAAAAATATTTATTTTAGTTGTGATGCTTATGGAAATATTATTTAAGTCCTCCACAAAGTAGTATGTAGACCTGTATTTATGGAAGTATAAGTAAGAGCAATTTCAAAGGGAATTATCAATGCTTATTTCCCAGTGCTAAAAAGAATGTATTACTGAGAACTTATACATGCATACGGGGAGACCATAACAATAATAGAAATGAGAATAAATAAAAAAAAAAAAAACTGTTTCTCGAAGTAGAAAGCTAAAGCTGCGACTTTATTATTCCAGAGGAAAAAGATGTCAGACAGAGAGGCAAAGGAAATTAGAAGAGGCAGAAGGAGAGAAAGAGATACAAGCCCCACAATGCCTCAAATTATTGATGCACATCTATAGCAGCTTTTACTCTTGACAATCACAAGATGATTCTACATATGACAGTAGTGTGCAAACTGTGGTCTTTAGAATGCCCAGCTACACAACATACACTGTATTTTCACACAAAATCTTCATGCTTACGGGCCCTCATTTAGTTCCCACCTGCTCTACGCAACTCATTCTCCAGCAGGAGCAGGCAACGGACCAGTCAGCACTGCTCCCGCCTTCCACCTAGGAACCACATCACAAGCAGGGGCACTGCCGAGCAGCTTCGTTAAACTGTGATCCTTTTTCTGCTATAGTGCCTCTACATGGGCGCGGACCCATGTAACATCCTTTGAGAGGGCTCCACTTCCTACAAATAGCAGCCACCAAATTTCATCCAGCATAAGCAGAGGATCAAGTTTCTGTTACAAGGGGTCTAAGAAGCATCTGCTTTTCTCACTGTCAGAGAGACAAGCCAAGAGGGCCATATCACCATTCTGCAGAATTTGGAAAAGGTGAAACTGTTGAAAACTGCTTGAGATGAAAATTTAAAATTTCTGAGTCTCTTCTAAGTATTTCATAGGGGCAGAATTTGTCTGCAATATCTTACTGACCTTTTTCTTCCCACTTTAACAAAGACTCTGAATACAACTTTCAGGAAGCAAACTGTAAAGCTATTCGAATCACACGTCTCAGCTGTTGAAAATATGCAACCTTTGTACTTTACTCAAAACGTGTGGTCATAGAAAAGTAATGAATGCTGCCCTGTCATGCCTCTTTATTAAATCAATCATGATCTAATTTCCTGAAATTGATATCTTTTGTTTTGGCAGTCATACAAAGTACATTTGGAAAACACTTAAAAGTCAGATAACCAGGATAGTAAAGCCAGTTACAAACAGAAGCCATAATGTGTATTCATTCATCCAGAAAAAAGAAATGTAAAAGATTTCCCCCATTTTCTTCATTTGCTGGTTAATAAAGCACAAACCAAATGAATCACATACTATTAAACATTTCACTTTCATTCTCTCAGAATATTAATATATCGTTTCTTTTAACTTTATTCAAATGTATTACTTTGAGAAATACTGGGGTGCTCTGCAGTGACAAGTCAATTATGCCATTATTAGAAAAGCTATCTGCTGAAAACTACCGTAACAGAGACTTGCGGGAAAGTCCACAGGCATTTGAAACATGTCTTGCATTCATTTTCAGTAGGGAACTTCTCAAGTTCCCACAGAGACTGAAACGGGGAAAAACTCCTCCCAATAACTCATCACAAGACCCTAGCAGAAATCACATCGAATCTCGTGAACATTACATTCTTAATTTTGCTGGTCACCAATGCACTGATTTTATAAGATTTCATATACTGTCAAGGCATTTAAACAATACATTTCAAAATAGAGATTGGGAATCTCTTTTAATAAGAGATAGAGGATGTACTATACTTGATCATGCATACTCATGAAAGCATTTTCTTGCACTTACTCTCCACGTGTAACATCATTCACATTTCTCAGAAGACGACCAAACAATTAATTAAAAAAATATATTTCATTAACAAGCTCTGTAGAAAAGGTATCTGTCACAATTCATTTTTTCACCACTCAAACTTAAGATAATTTGCAAAAACTAATGGGAGATATTTTTTAAACTTAAAAGTTATTTAAGCCAGAAGAATCAAAACAGCAGGCACACACGTGCATATACAAACACAGAGTTTAAACGTTAAAAGGCAAATAGCAAGTGGTAATGTACTGACCCAAAGAGAGACAGCACACACTGTTGACTTAGCGGTCCCACAGGAACTGTTCAGGATTAGGTATAACTACAATATTCTCATCATAACACTGAAAAATTCTGAATAGCTCAATGCAATCTAACTTTTTCCCCCTGCAGCTACATGCTTTTGAAGTAGAATTGATTTTTGTTGTACCTCCTTCTCATGATCTGAAAACCAGCTGGTGTCTTTACTGGAGCCTTGGGGCAAAATATGAACATCCACCAGAACAGCAAAGTTCCCACACTGAAAAAAAAAAAAAAAAAAAAAGAGGAAAGAAAAAGTTCAACTGTAGCTGGTAGGAAGCATGTGTAGGGCAGACAAGGAAATAAACAATCAGATAAGCAGATGCATGTCATTCATGGGTACAGCAGGCATAACGTAAAAGTTGACAGAAGATTTTAAAGTCTGGAAATACACACTTAGCGGTGTCCGTGTGCTTAATGAGAAATAAGAGAACTAGACATACCTTGGACAGTTAGGTGAAAACTTAAAACAATAATAGCAAGTACAAGTACTTAAAATTTTCTTCTGCTATGAATATAACACCTTAAAATCTGAGTTTCAATCAAATTTTAATGTTTGAAAAATATGCTATTCCTTCAAACTCCCATCATTCCATTGTCTGAAAATTTAGTCCTAAATTAGTTATCTAGTTTGCATGTTAAAATTAGTAAGTCCTTAAAAATTTAGCTTCTCTAGAACTTTTACCTCTCCATATTAGCTAACTAAAAGAAAAGCAAGTCTGAAGAATTTGTAACTACCTAATATTCATTGGCATCTGTCATTTAGCCAATATCTTGAGTAGTTAAATGAAAATAAAACTAAGCTATTAATAACCATTGTATCTAGTTGTTAGGACGATACAGGCTTCATCCCAAGTCACAGCAACTATTTCTGAAATTCCTTGATAGGTCTTAATTGAGAATACAGCAACAAAAGAGATTTAATGATTTTCTTCTTTCAATGTATCAGTCATTGCAACAAGATGCTAATATAAAGAACAAACACATCTGCTTAGTTTCACTGTGCGCTAAATCATCCCCAGCAAGAAAATACTTCTCTTTTCACGTGCAGAGGTATAGTACATTACGAGCCTCTACTCTCCCTTTCTTCTACTGTCACACAGCACAAACCCTCATTAACGCAGCCTTTAACTAAACAACTTGCAAGGTAAGAGCCTATTTTACCATTTTGTTCCGGCTGCTTGTGCCATACCTGTAATGCAGTAAACCCAGTCTTTTAGAGGACTGGACATGTACAGTCATGACTATTGCACACATGGAATGTCTCACAAAATGGAAACAATATCCTGATTCCAGCCAAATCTCAGCTGCGTATGTAAATTCCAGTTCTTCGATTTGGCTTGTTTCAAATACATGTTGCAGCGTACACTTCCTGTCCTAAATCTCTCTCTATATTATTTGCCCTTCATTGCCAAACATCTGCATAAGCCAAGACAGAGTTCCAATTGCTAACGGAGCTATTTGTATAAATAGCAGAATATACAGTTATTTCTAAATTTACAGTATAATTACACACCACCTAGAGAGTCTAAAAGGTACATCTATATCTAATGCTTATGGTATAGCAGAACAGTATTTAAGAGTCTCCTTTCCTGTATGTTTAGTATAGACAAATAACAACAGGATTTAGGCATTGATTTTACTAGTCATAACAACATATGCAGTAAATTAGGTATTTCTAAGATTAGTAACACTTAGATTAATACTTTGCATAACTAACAACAGAAATATTTAAACAATGTAAACACAACTACAATAAAATTCATGATCAATACTGTACTACAAGTACAATGTAAAATGAGATAGGCATTGTGAAACCAATTTGACAAACTTCTAAGTTACTTACAGGTATCACTCACTGAAAAAATAGAATGCTTTGATCTATTTTATCAAAAGGCCTCTCTTTCCTCCAGAGAACCAAGAATTACCAGATGGCTGCAATAGTAAACCTCTCCAAGTTTTAAATTGATGACAAAAATCTCTCTCAAAAATCTCTAGTGAATCAATAGTTAGCTCCAGCAAACTTTTGAGTTGACTACTGAACTCCAAAGTTACCAGACATTGCATATTTCTGGAAGAGAAAGCACTTAACTTATTCATCGATCAGCACCTATAACAAAGAACAAGTATTTGATATATAACAAAATATATAGACAGAAATTTAAAGGCAAACTAAGAATAACTTTTTAAAATCTTACTTTAATTTGTATTGGAAATGATTTTGGTGGGTGTGATTGGCAAAACTGAAACCTGAACACCTGATCTGATGAGAAGCACTTATATCATTTTAAAAGACAACATAACAATTGACCTGTCAAGAACCACAAAAGGAACATTTTACTGACCAATGATTACATAGAGAAACAGATGCAATGAGCTCTCATAATCCTAGAATTCAAAAATCTCTATTTTTCCAGTCTGATTTTTTTTATATTAATAAACTCACTATAACAGCCTAATAATATTCCAAGATAAGCATAGAGATGATGCTTCTTTCTCATGCAGTCTCTTCCCAGAGTTGCAGTATTTAATAACAGTGATGACTTTATTTCTCTCTGAGATGATAGTAGTTTAAAAAAAAAAAAAAAAGACTAGACCCTGATGGCCACTTTAAAATGTCACAGCTGAAAGTGGCTTCCAAAGACAAAATTAAGAAGAGGTACAATCAGTCTCCAGGTGGCAAAAGCATGGCAAGGAAGATACTGAGGTTTTGTGACCAAAAAAAACCCAAACAAACAAAAAAAGCTGATGTTTATTATGAGAGAAGATATTTCATATATTCCATCCCTTCCAAGCGCTTTCTAAAATCCCAAGTTCATTTATGTAAGTTCAATAAACTACAGCATTGAGTAGAACAATTATGTATTGTTACTGGTCTACACACTGTGCTAACTATATTATGACAATACATGGATACTATCTTCACTTTCTCCAGAGCTTTTCAGAAGCAAAAGTTTCTTCTCCTTTACCCTTCTGGGTCCAAAAAACCCCCAAGTCTTTCCTTTCTTTAGCACCAAAGATTTTCAGTATTTTGACTCTTTTCTGTTCTAGAACAATAGCAATAGGCAAAAATCTTTTAAGCGAGTGAGTGTACAGCACAGGAGATACATTTTTTTAAATGAAAGGTAAATTAGTTTTGTGTAATCATAAATATATCTGGCAGTACTATGTTTCTAGCTAATATACAAAGTTACCCAAACTGTAGGGCACCTTCCAAGTAGCCAAATGCCTCATCCTGCATATGTACATGGCTCAGAATAGCTTCTTATGCATCTACCACTGCTGTCGACTGTATGGGAGCAAAAGAGGTTTGGTGACCCCTGACATCATATATTTCTCACTGCTTTAAGAAGTAGATAAAGTTACATTTTAATATGCAAATAGCTTTTGCAGATATTTTTCTTGACTCTCCAGGGTTTAGGTTTGGTTTTTATTTTTTGTCCTAGGGAAATAAGTCGGGCAGGGGGGAGTAGAAGGATAGGCATTTTTCATCATACAGTCAACTTTCACAGAAATACTGCCTCCCTAGTTACTGTCCAAGACAAGGTGATCTTTCCAACTCTGAACTTCAGGAGTGGGTTAGGAAAACAATAGGTCACCAGTGACTGGCTTTGATCATCTTATGGGATTATTCAAAAGATCACTCAAAAAGAGGGACTCAAAGTTATAAAAGATTGGAACTCTCACCTAGTGCTTCCGAAAGAAGGGGAACAACAGACCACAGTGAAGGCTCTAGAAGAAGCCACATGCAGAAACTCTCTAGGAGATTATGGTCTAAGTCCAGCCTTCAGAATCGTTAAGAATTAAGAAGCAAAAGCAGAAAAATACAGATATTCTTCTACTTTTGATCTCTTTTCTGGAAAGAGACTGCTTAGTTCTAGAAATTGTACAAAATTTGTGGTTTGTTACAGGTATCATGTGGCTCTGAGAAGATGAGCTGTGAGCCAAAACATCCTCAAAGTTGAGTCACTCACTATGTTATTGGCAAATCCAGAGTTCCTTGCACTAGTTGCAAAATGGGACTACAAGATCCTGAGTCACGAAAAGGGAAAAAGATGGAAGACAGGCACAACTGGAAAAGTAACTAGAAACTCAAACCCTCAGACTGAGCTCTGCTAAGTTTCAGAAAACATATTTGGGCCATATTCTGCAGTTTTGTAAGCGTGCAGCAAGCACAAAGAGCCTCTCTAAAGTTACAGCAATCAGGCTGCCTTTGGACATCTGAAATAGAATTATATTGGAGTTAGTGGAGCTTGCAAAGAAGTTTTGACAAAAAGTGGGTGTTGTTAAAGAAGGATTATAGTGAACAGGTAACGTCTAGGTCTTTTTAGTCCCTTGCTTTCAAAATCTCCCTAAAAAGGGAACAGCAAGATCAACAGCAACTACCCAGGGGACTAACCTGAACACCTATCTTCAAAAACAGCTCTACTAAGCTATACATAGATTCAGCAGGAATCAGCCAAGCTAAAACAAATTCAAACTTTTCAAAAGAAAGAAGGAAATTCCTCCTTCATAAGCTGAATGAGGTATATCTAAGTAATCTTTCAAAAGCCAAAGGCTTGCTTTTTAGGTGTGTAGGCTATGTATCAGAAATTCCAAAAGGGAAGAGTGTTCAATTTTCTGGTGTTTTAGAGGAAGGCAATAATAAGTATCTAAAAACTCAAGAAATAAATTATAGGACTATCGAGACTATTCAAGGGTCTACATGCCAAACAAAGAGGTGCAAACAGAGAACAGACCTTTTGAACAAACTTTTAAGAAAAGAGGGGTCTGAGAACAACACGAGAAACTAGGCTGCAATGCAAGGTATTAGACTCTTAGAAGATGTGGATAGACAGAATATTATATGACGAAAGAGAATAGGAAAAAGAACATAAAAGATGCGTGGGTGCTTTAACTCCTAGAAAATGTAGAGAAATCTAAATAGTTTCAGATCTGACGGAAGTGTGGATTATAATGGAGACATCCAAATTAAGGATTAATACAAGGTTGTTAAAACATATAATTGTGAGAGATCCACCCAAATCAACAGAATTAAATAAATTAATCAAGACAACTATTTCAAGAACATCCTAAAAACCTGCAGTAGCAAAGCATTTGCATGTCATTTAGTAAAGAAAGAACGTTTCAATGCAAATAGAACACTTCATCACCCACAATCAGGCCAAGCAGTCATTACTTAATCTAAGTATCTGAACTGGTCTCTGAGAACTGCTCTGT